GGCTCAGAGAAAGCACCTAAAAAGAACATAAAACAAAGACTGAATATAGTTTGGACTTAACAGTCCTCCACAGATATTTTTTTCGTGGAAAGGGGTTAAGGTGGCTCGATAGGGTTTTTGAGGGTCAATACCTCCCAAGTTTGAGCATAAACTACGTCGTCATTAACAAAGACATAGCTGTACATAGCTTTATTAGATGAAGATGAAAATTTGTTCAGTGTTACAAAGACATCGGAATTGTTATAGAACGAAATGAGGCCATTACCTATTTTACTTGCGAACACATTTCTCGGCGCTGGGAACTGTTCTTCCAAAATCGTTCACGAGAGCTTTTTCCTTCAATAGCCGCCTCGATATGTTCGTGAAGTTGAAACAAATTTATGACAGCGTTATTGAGGTATTTTGGGAAGATCTATGGCCACCGCGGAGGCCTTTTTTTGGCTTTTAATTTGGTTCAATTTTTTTTTGACGGGGGCCGGGGGGGCTCTTAATTTGCAATAGACCTCTTTTGCTTGTATGTTTTGTTTTCCCATTTCAGACCATGTGATGATCGTTTCTTTCAAAAGTCGCGTTGTCCACGGGTAGAGCCGTGCGCAACTAATGAAAAAACAAAAGGAAAATTCCTTAGAGAAACATCCCGTGGTTCGAACTGGGAAAATATAACGTACAAATTATACAGGTCTATTGCTTAAATTGCGATTACAACTACGATGGTTATATTCTCACTTAGATTTGCATTGTATTTCCGCAGTTGATATCATCTTCAGTTTTGGACTTAAGCCATATTTTTCTTTTTTCTTAAAATAACTCGTATCTTGGAAATTCCTAAATTTCTAATCGATTTTTTTCTGAACCCTAAGAATCTCGACCTTCACCTCTCTGTGTGCTTTCTTGTCCAGGAAGTAACTATAAGGAAATAAAATAAAAGCGAAATAATAACTAAAGATAACTAGGGCAGTGTAAGAAATTGAACCAAGCAAACCTGTGGTATAGACTCCTCTGTTATTTTTGGCTTTTACTTCACTTAAATCGTACTGAGGTATCTCCACTTCACTGGGAATAAATATTCCATTGTCATTCCTCCATTTTACAATGACATTATCTTCCGTTTCGGAGTCTTATGCCAAAAAAACAAAACAAAAAAACGGATAAAACGAACACAAGGATAAGTAACGACAGCGAGTCAGATTCAATATTTACGGAGTTTGCGCAGTAGGACGACGACGGCAAGACGTCTGGAAAGTGTATTAGTGATATTTCAAACTTTATACTGCAATGATTCTAACTCGCTTAATTTGTCAACTGTTGGCGAGTCTTCCTACCGTTGAAATGCAGAGACCACAATCAAGTTTAAAAAGAGAAAGGAATCATTTATCTCGTACCCAAATCTCTTATTAACGAATCTGGTCAAATCCGATTTGTTCACGTGAGCGCCTGTTAGGAATGTGACAGGCGATGAAAGGGGGCAGGCTCGAAATAAATCCTCAAAATCCGGGCCGTTTTTCGACGTGTTAAATAACGAATTTGTTAGAGCTTTGAGGTTTCTATAACAAAACGTGTTGATAAGCACATCTTAAGTATGAACCAACTAATTTGTTGTTTTTGTTCTTTGTAGCATCAAATTCAACGAATCAGGTTTGTTAATTTTATTTACCACAGCGCGCGTTAGAAGTTCAAATCAATACGCGTACTGATTTAATTTTTTTTACCCGTTCAAAAGTCTTCACATTGATACCGAGAGCGGGTTTTAAAAAGTCTTTAAAGATAAGATAAAAATATTTTTACAAGTTATATTGAGACGGAAACTACTTCTTCAGTGAAAATTTTTATTTGAATAGACTCTACTAGTACTGAAAACTTTGCAAAGAATGAATTGCACACGCCATAGCACGCGCAGAAGACAACACTCGCGTCATTCGCTCACAATCTAGCCAGACAAAAAAACTGAATTTTCTTACTACTTGACAGGTCTTCGACAAGAGATCTGGGTACGAGATTAAGGAATCATGCCCTCCATCGGAACATTTGCCGACTTGTGTAGAGGACAGCAAAGAACAGGTGCCTAAAAGCATGATGCAAAACACAGAGTTGGTGTTTCTTTGAGATTCAATTGCAACCGTCGTCACCGTTGTATAAACTCCCTAATGTTTAGAAAGAGAGTTATGTTTTTACACAAGATCACTTTCTTGAGGCAGTTATTTCTACCAAGATTCAAAAGAAAATTTAAGATAAGTGTAGCGGGAAACCACACAAAACAGAATACAGAGGTACTTTGTGTTGCCAACTTTCTTTTTGTTGAGTTGTTCCAGAAGTTACTGTACTGTGGCAAGGGTGGCACGCTATGATAGCCTGAGAAAAAAAACGACATTTCTTGACGTCACCACTGGTTTCCTCGCGAAATGACGCCTGAGGAAGGAGCGCAGACATTCCAAACTGATGACGTTCACTACCCAGATCTGGGTCGTGCTCCTGAAGAATTCAAGAAGTACTACCCAGATCTCGGTAATGAAGCGTCATCAGTATGGAATTTTTTGCGCTCGTTTCTCAGTACGTCATTTCACGGAGAAAANTAAACTCCCTAATGTTTAGAAAGAGAGTTATGTTTTTACACAAGATCACTTTCTTGAGGCAGTTATTTCTACCAAGATTCAAAAGAAAATTTAAGATAAGTGTAGCGGGAAACCACACAAAACAGAATACAGAGGTACTTTGTGTTGCCAACTTTCTTTTTGTTGAGTTGTTCCAGAAGTTACTGTACTGTGGCAAGGGTGGCACGCTATGATAGCCTGAGAAAAAAAACGACATTTCTTGACGTCACCACTGGTTTCCTCGCGAAATGACGCCTGAGGAAGGAGCGCAGACATTCCAAACTGATGACGTTCACTACCCAGATCTGGGTCGTGCTCCTGAAGAATTCAAGAAGTACTACCCAGATCTCGGTAATGAAGCGTCATCAGTATGGAATTTTTTGCGCTCGTTTCTCAGTACGTCATTTCACGGAGAAAACAGTGGTGACGTCGCAAAATGTCGACAGTTTTCTCAGGCTAGCACTATGACCAAAGGGAACTTTCAATCAGTTGAAAATTGGAGGGATTAAATAGCCCTTTTACCGTAATGGCTGGCCTTGTATATTAGGATATTTAAACAACGGTAATTTCAAATTACTTACAGGAACCAACTTGAAAATGGCATATCTGTTGATCCATGGGAAAATGTCGAAAGTCCATCTGACAGTCAAGTACAGTGGTTATTCTGCAAGAGAAAAATTTTTTTTTATAGAAGTGGTGGTTACCCAGAGTGGAAATTATTGGAAACACCAGCTTCCCGCTTACATGCACGTGTGGACGGACGAAAACGGAGGTTTTCAAATCCGATGGTGTCATAAATCATATATTACAAGCATTACGCATGCTCTGTTAGGGAGACTATATCGAATTTCTATCGTTTAAGCGTATCTTGTCAAGTGGATGAGCGTGTGAACGCGCATTTTGTTTTGAAAACGGAGAGAAAAATCTCCGAAAATGACGACCCTCCGAAAATAGCGACCTCAAAATTGTATCCGTCTTTGCTCGAAATAACGAAAATTAAAGAAAAAACAAGCTTTACCAAACTGATCCGAGGTTTATTTTTAACGATTATATTGAACTTTTGACATTCCTTAATATAGTTCTAAAAGTACGCTACACTTTTTCCAAAAAGTCTTAGTCGTCTGTGAATAGCCATACCGTAATCAAACAAGTCTTTAGGATTTTTATTCAAAACAATAACATGAAATAAAATGAAATAAGTTTCTTCAAATAAAAAGTGTAGATGTTTTCACATAAGTCATGATTTTCTTAGCGTTACTTCGAACAGCTCAAATGGATGTGCAGTATGCATTTTACTACCTGAAAGTAGCGACCCCCTGAGTATAGCGACCTTCCGATAGTAGCGATAGGAAAAGGTTGCTAAATCCGAAACGAGCGAGGGTCGTTTTATTACTTTCGGAACTTTACAGTACCGGAATACATGTGTACCAGGACCGCAGGGCGTTTGATTTCGTTTGTTTTATCATGAGAGGGGACCGACAGGGGATGAAAGGGCGTTGGCCGGGATCTGTGAAGTTCACTGAGGTTATTTTTAAAGGTTGTAATTAAACCGAAGTCTAACCGAAGTCTAACCGAGGTTGTAATTAAACCGAAGTCTAACCGAAGTCCTGAGACGTCCGCTCATTTAATTTTAATCGATTGTTTGACACGTCATCGATTCCACGTG